CAGTTAGCATATTTCATTCCATGAACAAGTTTACCCTGCAGTGGCTGATGGGTAAAAGCCTCCATTCCATGAAGAATGCCTCCATAACCCACTGTGCATATTATCTCAGTTAAATCCCATTCCTGGTATTACAGGCCGCATTAAAAGAGGAGGATTGCTCGCAGATTTGCAGTGATGACAGTAAAGGACTGATTAGAGAATATAATTGATTGGATACAGTTAGAGGGATGAGGAGATGAGAGCTGATCACCAAGATTGAGATTGGCAGATGGGTAAAATGGATTGGATAGACTTCTCTGCGGGTGAGAGACCAGGGAACGGGAAAGTGGTTGCGTGTGGAGGGAAAGATTAAAAAGAGACTTATTAACATGAGAATGAGAATGAAAAAAAAGGAGCTATTTTTGTTTAGCGTGGGTGGCTGGTTTTAATATATCGCCAGGAAGCAAAAGTGTGACGTAATCAAAACAATAGGGTGAAAATAAGCGCAAACTGTGACAACTGTGTCAGTTTGTAAGAATCTTAACTTAGTTTAGGGATTAACACATATAAATCTACTCCGAGCCACCTGCGACAGCATATTAAATCATTTGCCTATTTTTAATCGAACGGCGTCTCAGCAAGTCAATTGTTTCATGGTGTGGCGAGTCGACAGGAAGTTGTTATCTGATACAAAACTCCCCAAAGAAATCCTGCTTGCTTTCTTGACAGTTTGTATCCTGAATGTGGGAGTTTTGCACCTCAAGAGAAACAAACATATACAGTATAAAACATGTAAACGTGCGTGTGTGTGTGTGTGTGTGTGTGTGTGTGTGTGTGTGTGTGTGTGTGTGTGTGTGTGTGTGTGTGTGTGTTAGTAGACCCAGAAAATCCGACATGTAGGGGCCGTTTCCTTCTTCCTCCACAAAACCTAGATTTCATAATCAAGGGAAATATGGACCTACCACATCGATACCCTCACAGACTGAGAGAAAACAGACACTGCAAGGACAGTTAAAAATCTCTCCACAAGGGGGGCAAAAGCCCTATAAAGACAGCAAAGCACAAATTAAATCAAATGCACCCCTCTCTGATCTGTAGGATCAGCTAACACTGCTGCTCTGTTGTGATTGGCTGGAGCTCTGATTTACCAATGCAGGCATTCGGCTGTTTTGATTGGCAGAGGGGTTTCAAACAGCTAAACGGTGGCTCCAAGGCATATTTGCACACTTAAGCCACACATTAAAACGTGAAATGTTGCTTGCTTAAGATAACAAAATATCAAAGCAAGTGAAATTTATTTTGAAGTAATATCTTAAGCGCGCTTCTCAAACAAAACATTTCATAAAAATATGAGTTAGGGGTATATTTACTGACCTCCCACGAAGACTCGAACTTAGAATGAAACTTGAATATACTGCATTGTAACTATTATATATTGCATTACCTTTACTACATATTAAACATCAGTAAATACATTTACTTGAGCATGCAAACACATGTAATATATATTAAATGTTATTATTGCACATACATATGAGATAATATGGCATTTTTATAAAGAACAATAATAAATATATTACATATTACACATCACAAAAAAATATATATTTATGTTTTCTGTTTCGAATAAATGCATATATTTGGAAATTTCTATTCATGAAATATTTTATGAATATTTATTTAAATTTAAATAATATTTTATTTAAATAAAACAAAAATTTAAGGTGTCAATAAAAAAAAAAAAAAAAAAAAAATATATATATATTAAGCAAAACAAGGTTTTATTATTATTTTATACACTAACCGGCCACTTTATAAGGTACACATTACTAGTACTCAGTGGGACCCTCTTTTGTCTTTAAATCTGCCTGAATCATTCATGACGGAATCAACAAGGTATTGGAAATATTTCTCAGAGATTTTGATCCACATTGACATGATAGCATCACACAATTGCTGCAGATTTGTTGGCTTCGCATCTATGATGTGAATCTCCTTTTCCACCACATCCCAAAGGAGCTCCATTGGATTGAGTTCTGGTAACTGTGGAGGCCATTTGAGTACAGTGAACTCATTGTCATGTTCAAGAAACCAGTCTGAGATTATTCGAGCTTTATGACATGGCATGTTATGCTGCTGGAAACAGCCATCAGAAGATGGGTAAACTGTGATCATAAAAGGATGGACATGGTCAGCAACAATACCTAGGTAGGCTGTAGTATTGACACAATGCTCAATTAGTACTAATGGGTCCAAAGTGTGCCAAGAAAATATCCCCCACATAAATACACCACCACCACCACCATCACCACCAGCCTAAACCATTGATACAAGGCAGGATGGATCCATGTTTTCATGTTCTTGATGCCAAATTCTGACCCTACCATCTGAATGTTGCAGCAGAAATCGAGACTCATCAGAGAAGGCAATGCTTTTCCAATCTTCTATTGTCCAATTTTCGTGAGCCTGTGCAAATTGTAGCCTCAGTTTCCTGTTTTTAGCTGACAGAAGTGACACTCGGTGTGGTCTTCTGCTGCTGTAGCCCATCCTCCTCAAAATTCCCCATGTTCAGATATGGTCTTCTGCATACGCTAGTTGTAATGAGTGGTCATTTGAGTTACTGTAGCCTTTCTATCAGCTTGAACCGACCAATTATCCTTATTATTATTATTATTAATTATTATTATTACAGTTGAAGTCAGAAATATTTACCTGAATTATTAGCCCCCCTGTTTTTTCCCCAATTTCTTTTTAACAGAGAGAAGATTTTTTCAACACATTTCTAAACATAATAGTTTTAATAACTCAATTCTAATAACGAATTTATTTTATCTTTGCCATGATGACAGTAAATAATATTTTACTAGATATTTTTCAAAACATTCTATACAGCTTAAAATGGCATTTAAAGACATAACTAGGTTAATTACTGTAGGTTAACTAGACAGGTTATGGTAATTAGAAAAGTTATTGTATAACAATGTTCTGTAGACTATCGAAAATTTATATTTATAGATAGATAGATAGATAGATAGATAGATAGATAGATAGATAGATAGATAGATAGATAGATAGATAGATAGATAGATTTATTCAAGCCGAAATAAATCAAATAACACTTTCTCCAGAAGAAAAAAAACATTATCAGAAATACTGTGAAAATTTCCTTGCTCTGTATATTATTATTATTATTATTAATGTAATTATTAGCAGTAGTAGAAGTAGAAAAAGAAGTAGTAGTAGTTAAGTGTGATGAGCATCAAATCGTCATGTAGAAATCAATTCAAAAGGATTATGTAAAACTACAGCCTGGACTAATGATTTTGATGAAAATACAGTTCAATTTTCCTGAATAAATTACATTTGAAAAATAAACAACAAAGTTACAGAATGAAATGAAATGCAGTGAAATGAATGCTCCCTTGGTAACCCATAAGTGCCTTACAAAATTTGTACTGAACCTTTGAACCACTAATAGCCCCAGACCATCATCATAGCATAAACGTACATATGCTGTACAGTGGAGCTCACATACTGTTCACAGATCTGTCAAGCGGAGCACACATGACTACTTTACTTTCCTCTCCCTTTGTGTACATCTGTAGGCCTGCGATCTGCCACCCATATCTTTCCTGTGATCTGAGAATCAATGTGGGAGTCCAGGGCATTGCCAAAAAAACATACAAAGGCAAAAACCTTCCCACACATACAGCACACACATGCAAGCATACGTCAAACCGCACGCGTGGCTCTAAGAGGCCACAGCAAAAAGCCAGGCCCAAGTCTTTTCAAAGCAACGTATCTTGACATGTTTCATCTCCTCCAGGTAAGCTCAGGATAAGCAGCCGTTTTATTTAAGAGACTCTTTTGTGTTACGCAGTCGATTAGAGAGATTGTCAGCCACATCCTTTGAAATTATTCCCAGCGCAAAACATCACTTGGTACCTTCAAAAAGCCCATAAGTCACTTCAAACTGGTGAAAAAAAGACAGCTTTTCTTCCTGTGTAACTATAGGGAGGCGTTGAGTAATGAAGACCACAACAGTAAATTATGAAAATTACAAGATACAATGTTTTGATGATATACAGTCACCACCGAGAGTTACGTAAAAAGACCACATGAATAAAACCGGGCCTGTTTAGTGCCACAAAATAAGGGTTATGCAGAGGACACCAGTGAATTCATTGTGCAGTAATTATTCCACACATAAAAAAAGTTTTTACAACAAAAGAAGTGAATGGGAGTTTAAGCACAATGTTTCTAATAGCGGGGCAAATATTCCAACCCATCAATAATCCTGTGAGTTACCTTATTGCACATGGTTATCCCTTATGGTGGCCGCCATATTGGAATCACATGACCTGAATGCTGAAACCATGACCCTAATCAACAATGGTCACTGGATTAAAAAAGTAAATAAAATAAAATAAAATTAAATTAAAAAATTATAAAATCAAATAAAATAATTAGATTAAATTAAAAATAATAAAATTAAATAATAAAATTACATTTAAAATAATAAAATTAAATAATACATTTAAATTAAAATAATACAATTAAATGATGAAGTAAATAAAATATAAAATAAAATTCAACAAAATGAAAAAAATTAATTAAATTAAATAATAAATTAAAATAATGAAATAAAAGAAAAAAGAATAAAATAAAATAACAAAATTAAAAAAATAAATAAAAATAAATTAAATAATCAAATTAAATAATCAAATTAAATACACTCTAAAAACGAATGTGTTGAAAACAACACAACATGTGTTATTTTCAACACATGTCCTGGGTGTGCTCAGGGACAACACATGTTGAGTTAAGTTTAACACACAAAATGTGTCATTTAATGTAACACATTAATGTGCAGCATAAGTTGACACACAGATGTGTTGTTTTTGTATGTATTTAACACAACTGTGTGTTACTATTCAGTTTTTATAATTTTGAATGTAAAATATATTATAAATTAATATACAAAATCTCACAGGAAACATTAAACACTGTTTACATACTGTTTATTTTTTCCTTTTTAACATGAAAATAATGCATTTAAATGTTTTACAGCATTTCATTGTACAAACAATTCATTGTATAACATAAAAACTCACTTTATAAAAGCATTCATTAAATTGAACTTGTATCTGTTACGCACGCCATATAAACTGTCAAATATGTATGAAACAGTTCCCAACATATACATTTTTTAAAATTCTCTAGTGAAAGAAATAAGTAACCATAGCACAACGTTTATGCATTCACCTACATGTAAGATGCTTGTCTTAACAAAATAAATCATTGTCAAATCTAGTCAAAACACTTAAACATTTAGGTAACCCTTTATAGTAACGACACTATAAATCATTTATTGAGCATTAGCAAATAGTTAATTCACTATTTGTTTAGCATTAACTCTACATTATAAGACATTAGTAAGCAGTTCATAAACACAGCCACAAAAGGCTGAATTTTTGACTTATAAGCGCATTTATAATGTGCTCAATGATTGTAGTTTCATAATTCAAACTTTCAAATACAAATGGTTTGTAAATAATGCAGTCCTTAATTCAGTAGTGAAAAATTAGTCAGAAGCAAAGTATAAAAGTACAATTGTTAAGCGCATTATAAATGTACTTATAAGTCAAGAATACAGCATTTGTAATTGTATTTATGAACCGCTTACTAATGTCTTATAATGTAGAGTTAATGCTTAAATGAATAAATTCACTATTTGCTAATTCTTAATAAATGATTTATAGTGTAGTTATTATAAAGTGTTACCAAAGTTTCAACCACTAACATGTTTAAAACAAAATTTTGTATTTAGGAGTTACATACTGCTGATCGCAAAATGTCACAATGTCTAGAGGTCTGTAATCTATTAAGTCCCCAGGCAGCAAAGCCATGTCAAAATCATTTGTTCTGATGACACTGAAGGAAAAAAGATGTTCATCAAAATACTTAACTCTTAAAACTCTCAGAAACATAAGTGCGCATTCTCTTTCACTTTGGGGAATAATGTGTATAACTTCACCAAATAATGGTTCTCCCCTTTCATCTGCTTTTAAAGTCAGAACAGATCCTGTCTGGTATGTTGTCCCCAAAAAACTGATATTATTACTCACATGAATTGAACTGGTGTAAGTAAGAGTCTCAAAATGTGTATCTGTCTTAAGCTTGTCAAGCAATTTGTCACCCTTATACAAAGATGCAATTACAACTAGGAAAGCATTTGGTACAATCATCTCAGAATTGTGTTTCGAGCTTAATTTCCATTGGTGCATTTGCTGAATCTGGTGTTTATGAGCCAGTGTTTTTGAAATATTACAAAAGTTGCAAACAACTTGGGCATGTCGCTTAAGAGGGTGATGTTTCGCTTCGAACCTCATACACCACAACTTTGAAAGCGGTCCAAATAAAGTCATAATACTCGGGTAGTGTGTCATGTAGTGATGTTTAGGAATTAGATTCCTTTCAGGATAAAGAATCTTGAACTGTGTATGGTGATCAATTATTAGCTGCTTAAGATGGACAGCAAGCCCTTTTGACACAACAGGTGCAAAAATTATGTCACAAATTTCCCTCAACATTAGGAAAAGGTGCCAGTGTGGGCTCTGTGTGTCAATTAAATCACCTAACAGAAAAGGCAAGACTAGTAGTAAACACCACATCTGTGATGCAGTCTGCTTAATAGCGTTTTCAGATGTCCTCAGATTGACAATAACACTAGGTTTATTTTTTTGATTTCCATAGCCATAGTCAAAAGCTGCTATTCTTTCATTTAAAAGTTCCAGAGAAAAACATTTCTCTTCATAAATGAAATGCCGCAGCATCAATTTGACCTCAAGAGGTCCGACTCCTTCCAACACATCATGCATAATGTCTACACCAATATTCTCAGTGACATGAAAATACTGTAGGCTGTTTAGGAATGAGTTATGTTTGACACCGGTTGCACTTGCATCATTGAGTTGTACATGGTATGCATAGTTTTCCCTTGTACGTCTCTCTGTATTATTTTCATCAAAAATAATCTGGGAACTTGATTTGTCAATTAGACAAAATTGACAAAATCGGTTTGCAGAGAAACTTTCCACATAGCCACAGAGTGAGTGACAGGCAAGATTGTCCGCTGTCAGCAAACAGACTGTTCCAAAAAGTAATTGATGTTTATCGTGTAGTTTGACCTCTATACCATTCTGCTCAATTTCTTTTAAGTCTGTTATAAGAGGTTCCAAAATTTTGTCAAAACCATAAATGTCTTTATCAATAGAATTAAATAAGAGACATAAATGGATATTGGAAAGTACAGAATTTTTTTCTGACGGCACATTTCGTAAAGCAAAGTAAACAGCCCCCATTTTATGAATCTTTGTTTTAGATCCAAGAGGATTAGTTGTTTCCAAATCATCGAAGTATAACTGAATTTGTAATGCATTTGGATGGTTTTGGTAAAGAGGATGTTTAGAATATTGAGCACCATCACAATAATCATGCATTGTATCTCGTTCACCGCAAGACTGCATATACATATTTTGCATTTTGTCACAACTAAATAAAAATTTAATTGTGTTAATTATTGAGATGTACTGACATGTGACAGGCACAAGCACCTGGCTTTTCCCCCCATTCTTTCTAAGACAATCTAATCTGTGACCAAGAAACACTTCTGTTGGTTTCTCAAAGGAAAAATTGTCAGAAAAATACTTAGTTAGTTTAAATGTAGTATCTATGTCACCAAACATGTTTCTAGCATTGTCAAAATCCTTCATAAGTGTTTGAACTTCAGCACTATCTAGCGGAACTGCCAAGTTCTTAAGTAAAGTATTAGTCTTTTCTTGCAAATGACCTAAGGTACGATCAATAACTTCTTTTGTGCAGGTTATACTTTTTTGAACATCAGTATAAGTTACATTAGAAGAGGCATACATGCTGGCAGCAAAAGCTGCAGCACAGTCTTTTAGGTTTAAACTGCTCTGAGGAACTAGCTCTGTTTTAGACATTATCCTCAAAATTATTTATTCTGCTTTCATCAATTTGATAGGATATATCTAAGTTCTTTGTATGTCCTGACTCTTCAGAAGGGCATGAATTCGTTTTAAAATGATCTCTGTTCAGATTTTTTAAAAAGGAATTGAAATTATGATAAGTTCTTGGGCAACCATTTTGACTACAAATTAAAGTTAGGTTGTAACTATCAGAGAGTGCATGCACTTCCCTTAAATGCCAAATTAACCCCTTTGTTTCAACAAAATCATTTTGAAGACACTTTGGACAGGTGTACATGCTTATTTCAATTAGGTACGAGACTGCACCTTAGCAATCAATTCCATGACCTTTGATCGTTTGCAAGATGACTGGGACAAAGACAGGTCATATATATGTTCAAAAAAAGAAAAAACAGAAGACAGTTGGCATGGATACTGAAGGTTGCACAGCCAGTAGAATTTGAAAAGTCTGTCTACAGCACAGGTCAGGCTTTCAACATCAAGTGGAAGAGCAAAAGAGTCATTCTTTGCCACAATTACGTACTGGGATCCATGTCCTAGAGAACCGATGGAAACCAACTGCGGCTGAGCTGACTTCAGGGTCCCATTCATGGATTCAGCGAGCAAAGATGTAACGTTGGTACCAGCCTTCAAAAATGAAACAATGAAAAGCATTAGAAAATGTTGCTCCATTAAAAACAATTTTATTTATCACAAGCTAACACAATAAAAACTATATCGGCACTTGCTCCAACAGGTAGGACACAGCAGAAGTCACACAGCATTTACTCCCAGCAACACTTCTCCCAGATGCAGTGGGTGGAAGAAGATGAATAAGGATCTTCAACATAGTGTAACACAGTTCATCTTGAAGTGAAGATACAGGTCACATGCAAAAAAAGAATTTAAAATTTTTTTGGAAATTAATATTTTATCTTGAATAGAATATCAATATTCACATAAAATTTTCTCATTTAAACTATGTTTAGAAAAGTATGCACATGCAACAGACATTTTGGCTGAAACTCATACCATCATGCTGATTCTCAGCCTTCTCCAGTAAGTGTCTGATGTCATTTTTCTTCTCCGAGGATGCTATTTCCTTGAGTCTTGGAATTATCGTCCCTTCCCATTTCCGGATAAACAAGTCTTCTTTCCCATCGGTGAGCTTGGAAAATTCAATGTCCATCTTCAAACGAAAGAAAGAAAGAAAATCAGAAACAAAGAAATATTAATATTACAATTATGAAAAATGTTTGTGTAAAGTTCTGTCTTAGTTAAGCATGTCTATTACCAAAGCTGGCATGTCAAGAAATCTAGGATATTCCTTGAAGATTTCAGCAACAGTTGGGGATTTTGTTGTTATCCATCTCCTTCGGTAACTGAAGGTTTGATTGATTGCAGTCTTTATTGATGATGAATTCTCTGGTGATGGTCGCATCCTCTTTATCAGAGTCAACCACTCACTTGGTACAGTTTCATCTGGACTTGGTAAAGAAGGTTGCGGTGTACAATGACGACGTTTCAAACTGTACACCCGCTGGCTCTGTTGAAGCTTCCGTCTGATGTTACGTAATCTCATTTCAATAAATCCACTGTGTGATGGCCCATCAAAAAAATGCTCCTGATGTTAGTAATGCAAAACAGAACTAGTTAAAGTCAAGTATACATGAGCAACTTGCATACACATTCCTAAACAATTCAGTTTATATTGTAAAAAACATTCTTACATGTCCCTCATTTTCCCCAAAGGGCACCTGAATCCTTAACAAGGGGAACAATGACACAATCTCTTTTGCTAGAGCCAGCTTTTCTGTACCAGATGGATAGCTAAAAAAAATAAAAAATAAAAAATAAAAATACAGTTGCACAAATTGCTCCTTCACAAACATAAAAAACTGACTAAACAGTGGTACTTTAGAATTGATTGGGATAAACTGATTGTTAAATGTATTTATTTAAAACATTTTTTTAAATGTAGAATTTATTTTAATATATAACTTATTTAAATAAATGTAATTTAATTAATTTGCAAAGAAATACACCTTACGTGGAATAAACAAACCATACTCACAATCCATGTTTCTCTACAAGGTCACTGACAGCAACTTTAACAAGAATCTTTCTTGAGGAAATCGACAGCGTCTTAGTCTCTTCATGTTCTCTCAGGATTGTAGGGGCTTTTTCTTCAAGCAGCGTCAGCAAACTAGTTGTGGTGCCAGTCTGAATTGAATCTGTTAAAGGACACTAGAAATGCCAAAAACATTTTATTTATTGAAATGTTCACTTTTATCTATAGTAATATAAAGGGAGAAAGATATTAATGTTTTACCTGTAATAAGTGCACACTTCTTTCTAATGAGTCCGGGGTGTTGCTTGCAATATAACGTTAATACATTTGAAATTTGTCAAGCTCCTGTACTCCTGCATTTACATCAGTGTCAATGAACTCTTGAAAATCTGTGTCAAATTTCAATATTCGATCAAGAGATAGTTGTTGAGACAGTTCAGGTTTGACTGAGGCTATCAGATCTCCAACACTGCCAACTGTGAATAGTTTTCTCCATATTTCCTTTTCGTCTATGAAGACAGTTGCAAGAACTCGGTGTAAAACTGTTAAAGTGACTGTAATTTGCTCCTCGACTTCCATCATCTAAGTAAAAGAGAGAGAAATCCATGTATATACAAGCACAATGAGAAAACAAACACATGTAACAATGAGTATGACAATAAAAAGCAGATTTTAAATAGTATATGACTAGTCGGTTAGCACAAAATGGCGCGCAATGTTGATTACAATAAAGATCTTCATATTTTAACGTTAGATATTGTTTATGAATTTGCTCACACAGCGGCGCCATTTGGTGTCTGTACAAAGCGCCAAACTAATGATATGGAAAGGCATTCTTGTTCAAATTCCTGCCGCAAAGCGGCATCTTATGTTTTATATCAAATAACATTATGATTAAAACGTTAATGTATAAATTGTGTCCGGTATCGTTAATTTACCTCCAGTGTCAGTGATGCGGAGGCTTTAAAGTGACGCGAAGCCGGAGATTTTAAAGTGACGGCAACTCTCATACCAAAATGCAATACATATTTAGGGTCAGTCTTTCACCTTAAATATGTAACTTATTATTAACAATTCTGCCGAGTGCCATAGCAGCTTTGCAATAGACGCGCCAGATGCGTTAGCTTAGGCGGCTAAAGTTAATGGTACATGACCGAGTTGCCAAGTCACCCGTGTATTTGGAGTATGAAACATGGAGACATAATAAAAGTAACAAAAATAACTTCCTGGACAACTAACACAAAACATTCTCACGCAGAGTGGAAGAAATATTTACTATCGTAGCCGAATTTTAATTAATTTCACTCACCTGAGGCAGAGAGGTGCATTATCCGACAGAGCTCCCGGAGAGCGACGGTTGAAAAAGAACGTCACTGCGCATGCGCGTGCACAAATACACAGCATAAATCCCGAAATACAGAATTTTCAGCCACATTTTCACAAATGCTTATTTTATATTACCATTATGATAAATAAACTACATAAACACATAACACAGTGCCATTTGACTCCAGACAAAAATGCATTTTATTCCAACATACTGTTTAAATGTGTTTAACACAGTCATTGTGTAAACACTTAAGCACAATATTAACACACAATGTGTCTGCAGTAACACAAAATGTGTTACGAACTGTTTAACACATATTTTGTGTAAATTTTTAACACATCATTTTTAAGAGTGTACTATAAAATTAAATTAAATTAAATTAATTAATGAAATAAAATAAAAATGTAACTAAATAATAAAATCAAATAATGAAATAAAATAAAATAGTTTATTAAAATAATGAATTAAAAGAAAATTTAAAAAAATTAAAAAGACATTAATAAAATAATAAAATTAAATAAATAAATAAATAAACTAACAAATAAAATAATACATTTAAATAATAAATGTAAATAGAATAGAATAAAATAAAATATAAAATAAAATCAAATATCAAATAAAATAAATAAATAAATAAATAAATAAATAAATAAATAAATAAATAAATAAAAATGTAAATAAAATAAAATAAAACAAATAAGGGGAAATCTTGAGTTAATATTTGTATTTATTTATTTAGGTAGTTAGTTTATTAATTCATTTATTTTATTTATTTATTAACAATAATCTAGATCTCAGACTGAAAAATAGAAGGAAATTTAATATAAGAAAAATTGTTGAAGAAAAGCCAGGAGAACTGGATCAGAAAAGGACCTCATGCCAGCACTGTTTGCGCAGATGAAAAATTTTCATGATTCATTTGAATTTAGTTTCTTGCCCTTGGGTTTAAAAAATTACTAGCACAAGCATGTATGCATATTACACTCAAATGCAAATAAGACTTAACTGGAAGAATAAATATTTATAAGTACAAGTGTAAAAACAGAACAGTGTAAAATGTCTAACATTTACAGCTGTCCGAATGGTTCATTTTCAACTGCTAAACCATCAAGCTTTTATTTTGGAGGAAAGCCACGGGAAGCCATTAAAATATATAGTATGTTGACAACAGCTGGTTATAAGCACTTCACATTACAAGTTTGGCAAAATGGTATGTGCATTTTACTTTCCCAAATGCACATTAAATCTGATTTACTGTACAACAGGCTATAGACAATCAATCCCTGCAGGATCGTAGATTTTTTTTTTTTTAGTTTTGCAGTCTAAAATGACTGACTTTGAATAATTGAAAGAAAAAACAATGAAACTAATATGATATACAAGACAAATCATGTAAAATTATTTATCTTTTTTACCTCAAAAATAACTGAGCCCTGCAATTCATATAATTTCATGTACAGATATGTACATTCTGTACCCTAAGTAATCAAAACATTGGTGTAAAATCTATTCAACATGATCTAAAATTAATAAATATGGGGGAAAAAGTATTCAAATGTGATTGTTTATAAAATCAATCAGCATTTAGGTCTACTGCACTACATTTTTATCCACCACAATTAAAATTGCATAGCTTTCATCATAAAACTAAGCATTTAAATGATATCTTACTGAAGGCAGATTATCAGGGGATTTAGAGCAATAAATTATATTTATATGCAATTTATGTAAGTGCTATATTATTGTGTATATGTGGCCATATAAATAACAGCTGCACCAAATTGCTGGATCATGAGCTGTGCATTTTTTTTTTTCAAAAACAAACAGCACGTTTATTATTTTTTTTTAAATAACCGTTTCATCATTTATCTTTTACATCCCTATGTCAGCCTTATTTTGATTTCAAATAGTACATCTCTACATTACATATGCTGTGTACCACTTCACATACACCCTACAAGTATGTAATTTTTTCATGAAAAAAAAGTATATATTTTGATTGTGTAACAGAAGAGTATGCAAGTTTTGGGACATACTATTTCCTCATTAACAGATTGTTATGTTGCTTGTTATGTCCCCTGTCAATCATTTCGACACATCATCCCCATTTCTTTCATATTTAATTACCTACCTTATTCATTTGTGAGTCTTTCATGCAGAGAAATCTCCTCAGGTCTTTCGATAATGATGCATACAGAAGTTAATGTCCAAACATATCTTGATATAAGTTCACCATGTTGTTATAGATGAAATATAACACGATTTAAATATTTTTCAATGGGCTATATATTAATTGATAGTCATTTAAACAACTTTACCTATGCCTCTCTACTTGATGGTTGCTCTCGCGTGTCCGCCATGTTTGTAGTTTGTTTACACTTTTACCTGAGTTTGTAGATCTAATGAATGGATAAAGTGCAAGAGTAGCCTACAGTAGCCTACAAAGTTTCAGTTAGAGAAGTCATCAGAGGAAAATCAGCCATCGTTCTGCGAGAAACTGGGATCGCTTATTTCCAAGACTGCAGCACCTTGCGAGGAGAATCTTGTTCATTCCTACAACATGCTATGTGAGCGAACGCATAGGCTATTCAAAGCAGCTGGCCACGTTTTGGAAGCAAGGCGGAGATGGCGTGGGGATATAAAAAGCATGTCAGAAAGAGCGGGAGAAAGCGCCTTTTCCTTTGATCTCGTTTTTCGTATATTTTGTTGACATGATTATGATTTTCATTGTTTTTGCTTAACTTTCGTTTTAGTAAAATTATTTTGCATTACTTTTGCCCACTTTGAGATTTTTTTTGTTTTGTTTATTGAAAAATTTTATTACAATTGATTTGTTTGTTTGTTTTCTGTTTTTTTTTTTTTTTTTTTTGGCTCAGCTCTTTCCCGTCATATTGAGTTACCGCCTCAAGTTCACTCTTTTCTCAGAGTAAGGTGGATAGGGAAGATGTCGTACGGCTTCCATTTTGCAAACACGTAAAAAAAAGTATTGTTAAAGACATCAGGTGAAGGTCAAATGTATATTTATTTTTTTCTATAGTTCAGTAGGGAGGAATGTGGCGCAGGGCGCTGAAGACCTTTTTTCTTTTCAACAGTTTCTAGCGAGGTAAGGGGTTATTCATGAGTTAAAACTGTTTTGCTATATTTCTTTCTTTTGTTTGGCTTCACTATCGCCCCCTTACTCCAGTTTTACTCTTTTTTTATTTGATACTTTGTTTGAATTTGCTACTTTTTCTATTCTTTTTATTAGTGTAAATATTTATCTCTTTTTTTGTATATATTTGGCCATTATTCTGATTTCACTTTTGTACATTAAATACTTTTGTTGGCAGTTCTGTTGTCAGTGTCTTGCTCACACCCTCAAATTGTGAAATTACCACACTTTTTAATGCTATTCCTTATAAGTACGTTTCGTGATGGGCGTGCGCTTTGTCTACAACACAAATTCTATTCCTGTACTTCACTGGAAAACCAAAATGTTCCCACACAGCTGACTTAAATGTGTCTTGGGGATATGCAATCTCAATACTATGCGATGCAGCCATCCTGCATTTGGTAACAGTGTGGTTCAAGTCACATGACATGCACTTGAAAAATATTAACTTTAGAATATAATATTTAGAACAAAAGCTCTTCATTACTAATACATTACTAATACACAAAAGTTTTGCGATATGTTTAATGGTTGATGTATCGCGATATTTCGGTTCGGTTTGTAATATCGTTACACCCCTACAAAATACATATAATTAAATAACCTGAGCAAGATGCTAATGGTCTAATTCAATGATCTATGCTAAGCTAAGCTAACAGTGCTCCTGCCAAACCCAGAGATTGGCTGAATGGGTTACAAAAATGATAAAACTACTGTTTTAAGGTGCAGTAGGTGATCTACCTAAACACTTTCCATGAGCATAAAATCTTTGAAACACAGTCCCTCCCCTGCCGCCCATAGCCACACCTCCTGAAATCATGAATGAGCACATTAATGATGACAATCATGCCATTCGCCAGCTAAAAAACTTTATAGTGCTTTATACTTCTGAACAAAAAACTGTTTTATATCCAGCACATTTTCAGTTGTGTAGCAAGCAAAACTCATCATCATGTGCAATATTTCATGCATGCAAGGATCGCTGGTCTTTTGCACGCTTTGTTAGGGCTAGTGTAGTGACTACTGCATGCTTAGTGGTTGGCCGGCGGAGTGCAGAAATTTCTCTTATAACTAAGCCATACTTACATGCTATATATACCGAATATTCGCAGCATCAGGGTAAACAATATAGGGAGCGCATCATCAAAAAATGAACTAATGTGAATATAGAACCAACTTCACCTCAGTAAAGCAGACTAGGCAGAATAGCAATATTTACTTATGTTTTGTTGTTAAACTTTATAAAAATCTACATTATCTATGCTGTAAAAGGTACATTATAAAATTGAAAATAGTCAAATCAATCTTTTGCTGGAAGATTTCAGTGGCTTAAAAAAACTTCTGTGTATATAACCCATTCGTAAAATAACACAATCTACATCAGCTTTGCGTGCCTAAAATAATTATGAACATAACATTATCTCCTCCAGCGTGTAAAAGTAACCCAATAATTATTCAGGATTTTTTAAAGTTTTGATTAAGCAATTGGTTTTAATTTTCTCTCTCTCGATCTGCATGAACAGTGTGTGCAGATGTACAAATCTATATTTACTGACAGGCAGTTTGGGCAACTTATCAGAATTATTAGAATTGTTTAACAGGCATATTTTAATTGAATGAACTTTTTTTATTCATATGCCTTACCCAGAATATAAAAATACATATAAATACATTTAGATCAGTTACTTTAATCAGTACTGTTGGAATGTGTAGAGACTTTCAATCAGCACAATAAAAAAAAATATATTTCTGAAGACAATCACCTACTGCACAAGGGAGTTGTAAAATTGTCTTATTTTCAAAAGGAAAAATAAAATGGGGTGTTTCTTTAAAGCAAAGTGGACAATTTATCTATTTTATGAGCTGATTTCATCTAAACAAAGCATCAGCTATTCTATTTAAGTCTCTGTCCTTCAAGGAAAGGCACATGAAACCATTTCATTTTTAGCCTTAATTGGGATCCTTGTAATTGCATACATCGTGTTTCATGCGTAATTAGAACACTTTTGGTGACACTATTAATGTGGGCATTTGAAAAAAAAAACCTGAGGCGAAGTGAATAAATGCATAAGCTGCAGCAAAATAATGGACAAATGCCTTGGGGAGACATTGAACTCTATAAAAGCATATTTTGAAGCATAAATAATCTTGAGGAATGAAGACAATTATTAAACCTACACAGAATCAGTTTC